CATTTGCTTACAGAGCTGCAGGAATGCCCCAAGGCTGGTGAAGGCTCCAGGCTTCCAAAGACTATTACTGTTTTCCTATACAAAATTTGTCAAGCTGTTACCCAAAATTATTTCCAACGTTTCCATTTTTTCAGATGTTCCCTTTTCTTCTGAAATATTTTTTTTAATAGATCAGGCTACCAGCTTGTGTCCTAGTAATGGATTGTAGTCTGTGAGTCAATTTACAGATACAACATGGGAATTACAGGTTGGGACCCTGTCCCACCATCCTCTAGTCCCTGTTGCAACAAACTTTGTACCAATTGTCCCCTTCCTCTCCACCATTCTTGGCTGGCTCACCAAATTTGTTATTAGGACTTATTTGAACATGATACTCTGGTAACTAATTTTTGTCTTCCAAGCAGTTTCAGGAATTAAATCAATGGGGACACAGAACCTCCCTCTGATAAATGATTGGTACAAACAAGAGTGCTTTCACTTAAAGCTCCTTTTTTATTAAGGCTCAAGCACACACACATATGCAACAGCAATAGTCTAGAGCACCCCAGATATGGTTACCCAGAGTCTGATGTGGTATCAAGTGTTCAGCGGCAGGTTTCCAGTGACCAGCCATCCTTCCAGCTGCTGGGGAGTAAGATGTCAGTCTGCTAGGTCTTAGAAATCTTCCTTGAATTGCTCCAGATTGCACACTTTTCAACTAATGTTTTTAAGTTACTCAAAACAAAGTACATATTTATAACTTATAGTAACCTCTACTAGGCTAACATTTTCCTAGCAACAGCAAAAAAACAAAACAAAAAACCCACTCCACACCTCATAATGTTATTTATCAGCAAAGTAACTCCTAGTCATAACAGTAAGATACACAGATCCAAGGTAAGTTATTTACACTCTTTAAAAAAAAATTAAATAAATTTGTACAAAGGTGCAACTGTACAGCTATTTGTCTGCTTTACTTAGGCAACAACCACATTATTTCTAACTATGTAGTGTTCTCATTTTTAACTAATCATAGCTGAGTACACAAAATGGCTGCGGTTGTATCAAGTACAGGTTACTTGAAGTCCACATTCTTGTAACAGCAGAACTTGTCCCAGCTGAGAGTTCCTTAAGTGGAGAGAGATGTTGGTGATGCCATGATCTTTCCATGCTTTTCTAACAGTTCCAGATTGTATTTCCTCTCCCTCTTCGGTTCACTTCTGGGCTTCAATTTCTTGATGCTTTGGCTCCATGGCACTCCTATGGGAGGCTTCTTCAGCTTACCATGCAGCAGCTGCCTCTGTCTCCTTCAGCTTCTTTCCAACTGCTTCTTTCAGTCTCCTTTCTACCTGCCACTTTTGGAATTTGTGTTCTCTCTTTCTTCTGCCTTCAATCTGGCCAGATCTAACTTTGCAGTTGTTTCACTGGTGTTCATTTTTATGCTTTCCTGTTTCTATTTCCCTCACCCCAAATAAGCAAATAGAAAACAACAAACAGCAACCTCTCTTTGACGGTTTCCAGCCACCATACTTGAGATGCTCTTAAAATCACTGTACCAGTGCTTAACGTATACACTTCATTTAAAATAACGATCTGTGCATATATCCTGCCAACTATACCATTATGACATTGTAGTGGGGCAGTTGCCCCACTTTGGCAGAGGAGGGGTTAAAGCAGGCTGGTGAGATCCTATGCTGAACCTGGCCAATCAGAGAAGGGCAGAAAGGCAGCCAATTAGGGCCAGGCTGGGCCCTATATAAAGACTGCAAGGCAGAGGAGATAGCAGTCTCTCTCTGATAAGCAAGGAAGGAGGACTGGCTTCTAGGGATAGCACCTTAGCTAGAGCAATACTGGGCAGGCTCAGGGGAGCAGAGCAAAAGCTCCAGCCTGATACCTGCCAGGCTGAAACCCCTGAAAGAAAGGGCTGAGAAGGTGCAAGGGCCAAAGGGAAGTGGCCCAGGGAGCATGAGCAGTAGATGGGAGAGAAGAGAGGCAGGACATGGCCGGGACCCAGAGTAGTGGGTGGGCCTGTGTCATGTCCTCCCCAACACACACACCTTATACTGCACCTGGCTGTGGCCTGATACAGACTGTGGCTGGCCCCTGTGGCAAAGGGCTAGACTTTGGGGCTGCAGTTGGCCACGAGGGCAGGTGCAGACTGAAGGGTGCTGATACCCCCAGAAGGAGAGAGAACTAAATGGGGCACGGCCGGAGGGCTGTGTCCAGAAGAGGATGCCGCAAGCCAGGGAGCAACGCGAGTCCCAGACAGCACAGCAGGGCAGACAATGGGTGAGACACCACCTGCAGAGGGTGCTCCACAGCTGGACAGAGCCAATTCTCAGCGCAACGAGCAGGAAGCGCTGCAGTGGTGAGTGTGTGCTCCGTTACAGACATTATGCAGGGTACTGATGTACAGCTGTGTCCCCTGAATTCTCTAGCCTGAGGTGCCTTTTACGCTGCTTTGCTGTGAGAGCAACCACTCCTGGACTGCTCTCACACAGCCTCCAACATGTAAATCACTCCCACCTATACTACATGAGTGGTATAGCTAGTAATTTACAAATTACACAACAGGGCAACATCATCAAACTCCCAGTCCCAGACATGTGCCCAGCACCCTCCTGGACAAAACAAGCTCATATAAAGTCCATTTATGAATAGAAAATGATGTGCACAAATCTTGTTATCCCAACACTTCAATCCAAACACACTGATCTAGATAAAACAACAAAACATCTTAACTACAGAAAGATGTATTTTAAGTGACTACAAGTAATGAGGCATAAAAGTCAGAATTTGTTACTTGTGTTTTGCCTTTTATTTTGTTGTAACAGCTAACTTAACAAATGAAGTGAATACAAAGCAAAGGTATCTCTCACAACAGGTTCCAGCAGTCTTACTGGACAAAACCTTTCAGTCAGGATCTTCCCCCCCCCACCGACCCGAGTCCACTGCTGCTTCTTTTGCTCTTCTGGTGTTGATGAGGCTGTGGGTAGAGAGTAAGGGAGAGATGATTTGGGGCATCTGCCCTTTCCCTTGCACAGTAATTATCTCGAGCTGATGTTCAGGAGGCAGAGTCTGTGTGGCCAGGAACCTGAAGCTGCTTCTTTGTTAAAATGTAGATTTTTTTTTTTAATTTTTTTTCTCACACCCTCTCTCCGGCTGAAGAGTAGCCACTGAATTAGGGGGTGATCCATTTGATCTAGTTGACACATGGCTGAGGCATTGGCTAGCCCTTTGTCTCGGAGAACTTGTTTGCGACTGCCCTCCAGAACATTTTGGAACATGTCTTGGTAAGATCATATAGTGCAATCTTATGTACTAGTATTGCCTCACATATTTATCAGGACACTAATGATCAGCAAATCATGAGTTTTCAAATCATAGAATCATAGAATATAAGGGTTGGAAGGGACCCCAGAAGGTCATCTAGTCCAACCCCCTGCTCGAAGCAGGACCAATTCCCAGTTAAATCATCAAAAAAAAAAAAAATAAGCAGGACCAATCCCCAATTTTTGCCCCAGATCCCTTAATGGCCCCCTCAAGGATTGAACTCACAACCCTGGGTTTAGCAGGCCAACGCTCAAACCACTGAGCTATCCCTCCCCCCTGATCCCTCCCTCCAATGATACCTTACACAATGTGCTTTGCACAAAATATATCAATCTTGGAAAAGGAGTGAACGTAGGGATAGAGATCATCACACTCTTCCTCCCCCCACCCAACAAACTTAACTCTGCCCCGTGGCTAGCCAGGGCTCCCATCTCCCCAGCAGGAGCAGGGTCCTGTGGGGCAAGGCCAGGAACAGAGCTGAGGCAGGCAGGCCAGGAGATCCCCATGGATATGGTCCCACTCTGCGCTCTCTGGTGCTACCCACAGGGCTGGCTGCCAAAGGCAGGCACCATCTGTGTCTGTGCAGCACCTGATGCAGTGAGGCTCCTACCCCTGACTGGACTCCAGGGTGGTACCCCAGCAAAACCAGAGCCCTGCTGTGTTTCCATTTCCCCCTGTCCTGTCCTTGGGGAAGGATCAGCAGCACATAAACAGGGAACCTAAACTGTCTCCAGCCTCCCTCCCACAGCATGCCCATCACTGTTGCACCTGATTAATCAGGCACCTGTCCCCAGACCAGTTAGTGATGAGTCTCTCCTGCCTTCCCCCTGGGCCCCAAGGACCGCCCTAGTCCCCCTCCCCCACCAGACAGGCACCTGCTCAGTCCAACAGCCCCAGAATGAGCCCCTGCCGTGCTACCACCGCCCCATGCTCCTTGCACTGGAGACTGTAGTGTGCTCCCTTCCCCCCCCATGTCCTCAACTGCCAGAGTGAGACCCAATTTTCCCTCCCCCTGCACCTGAGATCCCACTGTACTCCTCTCCTCCCCCCATATCCAGCATCCCCAACACCCCAGAGTGAGACCCTGCCACGCTCCCCTCCTCCCCATACCCAGGGCCCCCATGTATCCCCTCAATTTTAGAGATCAAACTGAGGGAGGGGTCTGGTCCTGGCCTTGCCCCCTGTTGGGCATCCACCATCTCCCCCTAAACTGTTCACGGGGAAGTAGGGGGTCCCTGCTGAACCATTCACCCTGCTCAGTGGGTTGGGGAGGTGGGAGGATTATCCCAGTCCCAATTCACTGGCCTACATGAGTCCCTCTCCCCTCTTATCCAGAGGGGATTGCTTGGGATCCGTTCCCTGCCTCGAGATGGGGGAGAGGGAAGGTCATGCCCACCCTGCCCTATGCCCCTATCCCTCCTGTGTGCACCCCCACCCCTTCCCCCTATCCCTGCTGTGTGAGCCCCCACAACTCCCTATCCCTGCTGTGTGTGCCCCCACGTTCCCCATCCCTTCCCCCCTCTGCTCCCAGCCCTGCTGTGTTCGTGCCCTATGTCCCCCCACCCGTGCTGTGTGCCCGCGTCTTTTCAGACCGGCCACCCCTACCCCGTGCCCGCAGCTCCGCCACTTCCCCCACTCTCTCCCTCCCCGCGCGGCGCTGTGCTTGCCCTTTTAAGGCGAAGGGAAAGCAGCGGCCCCATTGGCTGCCGGTCTGGAAGGCGGGCCCCCTGGGGGCGCGGGGCCTCAGGACCCCCGCTGGGCTCTCGGGTGACGGGTCCTGTCGCCGATCGCAGCCGCTGCCCGGGAAGGCGGCCACGGTATCGTATCGTCCCGTCCCCGCTCCCCAGAGCTGGGAGCGCAGGAAGGGGAGCCCCCAGCCCCTCCCTGCGGACGGAGGGGGCGGGGCTCTGGTTTGAGACTGGCCTGGCAGGACTCCTGGCTCTAGGAGGGGAGCGGGATCTAGGGGTTACAGGGGAGGGGGCTGGCCTGGCCTGGCCGGACTCCTGGGTTCTCTCCTGGCTCTGGGAGGGGAGTAGGGTCTAGGGGTTACAGGGAAGGGGGCTGGCCTGGCCTGGCAGGACTCCTGGGTTCTCTCCTGGCTCTGGGAGGGGAGTGGGATCTAGGGGTTACAGGGGAGGGGGCTGGCCTGGCCTGGCCGGACTCCTGGGTTCTCGCCTGGCTCTAGGAGGGGAGTGGGGTCTAGGGGTAGTTAAGTGTAATGGTCATTAGTTTTGCCACCATGGGGCATCTCCCTCAGGCTTTTCTTGGGAGCTGCCCCAGGGCCCAGCCCTCTTTCTCCACTGACCAACCTTCCCCCTCCTCCCTGCAGCTGGGAGCCATGGGCAGGAAGCGGCTTATCACCGACTCCTTTCAGGTGGTGAAGAGGCAGCAGCGGGACCCTGACACCAAGGAGGGGACCCTACAGCCAAGTGAATGCCTGGCCCATGGAGGGGCAGGGCCCCCAGAAGATGGGCTCATACCCCAGCCTGGCAAAGCCGGATCTCAGGATGCAGGTAGAGCAGGGATTGGAAGCGGCTTGGGGGTGGGTGTGGAGCCGTCTCAAGCTGGGGGATGCAGAACTAGGGTTGCCAACTGTCCACTTGCACAAAACCAAACAACCTTGCCCCGCCCCTCCTTCGAGGCCCCGCCCCTGCTCACTCCATCCCCCTCTCCCCACCCTCACTGACTCATTTTCACTGGACTGGCTCAGGGTGGGGCCAGAAATGAGTTGAGGGTGTGAGAGGGGGCTCCAGGCTGAGGCAGTGGGTTGGCATGCAAGAGGGGGTTAGGGCTCCAGTTGGGGGGTGTGGGCTCTGGGGTGGGGCCAGGGATGAGGGGTTTGGGGTGCAGGAGAGGGCTGGGGGGTAGAGCCGAGGGGTTTGGAGTATGGGAGGGGGCTCCAGGTTGGGGCAGGAGGTTGGGGTACACAGGGTGAGGGTTCCGGCTGGTGATGTGGGCTTTGGGGTGGGGCTGGGGATGAGGGATTTGGTATGCAGGGGGTGCTCTGGGCTGGGACCGAGGGGTTCAGAGGATCGGGGTGGGGTAGGAAGTTGGGGCCCGGAAGGGGGTCAGAGGTGCAGGTTCTGGGCAGCGCTCACCTCAAGCAGCTTCTGGAAGCAGCAGCATGTTTCCCCTCTGGCTCCTATACAGAGGCAAGGCCAGGTGTCTCTGCGCGCTGCCCTTTCCTCAGGCACCACCCCCACAGCTCCCATTGGCTGCAGTTCCCAACCAAAGGGAGCTGTGGGGGTGCCACTCGGCATAGGGACAGTGTGCAGAGCCCCCTGGTTGCCCCTACATGTAGGAGTTGGAGGTGGCGACATGCTGCGGCTTCCGGGAGCCACATAGCACAGAGGCTAACAGGAAGCTTGCCAGCCCCGTTACATGGCGCCACCAACCAGACAGTTAATGGCCTGGTCAGTGGTGCTGACTGGAGCTGCCAGGACTCCTTTTCAACTCAGTGTTCCAGTCGAGAACTGGACACCTGGTTACCCTCAGCAGAACCGCTTCAATAGCTGCAGGGTATTGGGGGTGGGGGTGGGTGGGCGGAGCTGTTTTGGGAGGTGCAAAGGAGTGGAGCTGTCTCAGGGGCTGGAGGAGTGCAGGGGACAGAGCTGTCTCAGGGTACATTGCGGGGGTACAGGAGCGGAGCAGTCTCCATGTGGGGGATGAAGGGGCAGATCTGTCTCAGGGGTTGGGGGCGTGAGTACTCTCTGCTTTGTTCCCATGCTACTCACTGTCATCCCAAAGTGGTCAAGCCAGGGGTGCAGACTGGAGCCTGTTTCAGCCTTCCAGCTTGGGGCGGCTCGGTGACTCAGACCGAGTGGGCTGTGCTCTCAGAGCCGGGGCTGGGTTCAGTCCTGGGGAGGGGCGACGTTGTCGCTGCAACATACCCCACCATCCGGGTTGTGGGAGAGCCAAGCATCTGCGTGGGGGAGATGGACAGACCTGGAGCCATGGACAGACCCATAATAACCATTGCCACTCCATCTCCCCCTGGCCACTGGGAGCTGGGCCAGCTGCAGTTACTGGCCTGTGTTCTCAAGCCATGACCCCTCTGACTCGGCCCTGGGGGGAACTGCTGGGCCCGGGGTTTCCTGGCTTGCACTGTGTTGTGGGGGGGGAGGGGGTGCTGGTGGGCCTGGGCCTATTTCCACAGCAATGCTGATCTGTCTGTCCCCATCTGCTGCTCAGAGGCAGTGCCGGTCCCAGCTGATGTCCCCCCAGGTGGCTCCTTGCACCCGGCCCAGCTGGAGATGCTCAAACAGTTCGACCTCAGCTGGGAGTATGGACCCTGCACTGGTGAGAGCCCCGCCCCCTCCATCCTGAACCAGTGAGAGCCCCGCCCCCTCCATCCTGAACCAGTGAGAGCCCCGCCCCCTTCTCCCCCCACACCAGTGACAACCCCACCCCCTGAACTGGTGAGAGCCCCACCCCTTCCATCCTGTACTGATGAGCCCCACCCCGCTCCATCCTGAACCGATGTGTGTCCCTACCCTTTCCCCTCCACGACAGCCCTGCCCCTTTTCCCCCCACATTGATGATAGCCCCACCTCCTTCCCTCCCTCCACACACTCATGATTGCTTGGTCCCCTATCCCTGCACTGACAGAGCTGTGCCCTGACCCCACTGCAGTGTGGACCACACAGGGCCTCCCCATGAGGCTAGCCAGCTCCTGCTGTGGGGTTGCCTTGCCAGCTCACTGCTTGGCCCCTTTTAGGGCAGCATGGGGGGAAGCCCCTGGATTATCCTAGTCACCCTGTGCCTTGCCCACTGGGGCTGCTTCCTTCCCCATCCCCAGGTGGCCATATGCTGGGAGACGTGGTGATGGGAGCCTGGGCCAGTGGGAAATGAATGCCACGCCACCTGGCCCACTGCTGCTAAACAGCACTGGAGGCCTGAATTCTGGGGTTGGGCTGGATTGGAGCTGGTGTCCTATTCTCTGCCCTCCTGAGCCAACCAGCCCTCCAGCCTGAACAGAGCCAGCACCCCCTATAGGAGAAGGCCCCACATCCCTTCTGTCACAGATCCACAGGGTGAGCACTACAGCCCAGCTTTGAAATAGTCTGTTGGAGGACCCCTGTCAATGTGCCTGACCCCCAAGGGGTCCCAAGCTTCCTCAAGGCCTTAGCGCCTCCGAGATGCTGGGTTCTGGACTCCTGCTTTGCACCATGAACTCTGCCCAGCAAGTCCAACTGAGCCAGATGCCTGGTCAGAGATTGTCCCCCTCTCCAGGGCCCCAGGACATGCCAGTGACATGGGGCAGCTTTTCCAACTAGGGCAGGGTTTGTTAACCTGCTGGCATGCGGCACGGGGAGTCCTCAGTGCAGCACAGAGAAGCAAAGGTCACAGAGCTGAGCGCCCAGTCAAGCTGTGGTGGAATCCCGTTTGGCTCTGGCTCTTAGCCCAGCTGCCTGGCCCATCAGTCCGATGCCAGAGCCATGCTGAGTTCCTGGGTTCCGCCTGCCGGGAAGGAGGTGTCAGGTGCTCAGTCCTTGGGGTGCCCGTTGTCTTTCCAGACCCCCCGTGGACATGGGCCAGGCCTTTCATGGCAGCATCCAAACACCAAGTTTCTGCTTTTTGGTTCAGTTGTCTGGGGATCCCTGGGGGGAGGGGAGGAGCTACAGCTTCCCCCCATTTTCTCAGGGCTGGCCCCCCGATCAAAATTGAGGGGGCAGCACTCCCATCCTCCCTGCTCAGGGCTGAGCCTGTTCTGCCATTTTAAAATGAAGTTCTATAGGGAAGGATCTGTGCAGCACCTGGCACAATGGGGGCCCTGATCTGGGTCAGGGTCTGTGTAGCACCCAGCACAGTGGGGGCCCTGGTCTTGGTCGGGCTCTGTGCAGTGCCTGGGACAATGCGGAGGGCACCTGGGCCTTCAGCTGTCTGCGCCCTCCTGCCACCCTACCCCCCATTAACCTTTCACTCTCTTGCTGGCAGGGATCACCCGGCTGCAGCGATGGGAGCGGGCTGAGTCCCTGGGGCTGAGCCCCCCTGTCACGGTGCGGGAGACATTGCTGGAGCATGAGGGAGACGCCAGCTTCATGCACTGGTTGGTTTGGGGCCCAGCCCCTTCCCAGGGGGCTGCAGGGCATCTGCAGATGTGTGTGTGGTGCTTTCCCAGCTGCTGCCCAGCAGCGTCAATACCCTGGGATAGTAAATCTCCCTGAAATGAGCCCTGCTGCATGTGTGTGAGGAGAAACATGATCAGTCTCCTGGGTGCATCAGCTGGAACTCAGCCCCACCCCCTTTGCTCCCAGCAGTTTGGCTTGGAAGGAGCTTTGTACATAGATCTGAGGAACAAGAGGGCTCCACAAATGAACATTGCAGATCTAGGGCATCTCCACACCCCTTTGCAGGCTCAGGATCTGCTTCCTCCCCCCAACTCCCAGTGGAAAAATGAACCCTCTTCCCTCGCAGTTATGAAGCAATGCTCCTTCTGCAGTGACACCTGCCGGAGTCTGCAGAGAGCCTAGACCTACAGCTCCCACATAGGAGTGTTGGGGCAGTTCTCCTATGTGGGGCATTAATCCTGAAACCTATTGAGGGTGATTCAAAGGTCAGTACAGTTGAGAAGAGAGCCCCCTGTCTGAGCCCCTCACCCTGCTCCCTACAGCACAGCACCCTCTAGTGCTGCACTAGAGCATTGGTGCCAGCAATGACTACGAGGGGAGAGTGCCACAGCTGAGCCCTGCTCCATGCAGCCCTGGGGGTTTCTTGGAAGTTCTCCCAGACGGTGCCTACCCCCTCCCAGCCCTGCCTTGGGGCTCAGAGCCCTTGGCTCTGAGGGCTAGGCAAAAAGAAGGAAGAAATGAACAGGTTTGAGGGGAGAGTGAAAGATCTGAGCCCCCCTTCCCCGGGCTGCAGGCTGGCCATCCCTGAAAGCCAGTAGTTGTGGGACCCAGCCGCATCATTTCCCTAAGTCAACCGTAAAATTGTCTCCTGCAGACCGACCACAGCAGCGCTGCGCGGAACCAGCTGCATTCCGGACCTTCCAGCCCTGGCTGGGCCCAGTGGAGGGAGTGGGAGGGGCGGGATGCAGAGCCAGGGACCCTGGGGAGTAACCACATTCTCTCTGCCTTCCTCTGCAGCCTCTGGCATGACTACCCACTCTGAGATGAGGCAGGGCTGGCCTTGCCATACAGCGAGGAAGGGGGAATCATGCTGCCGCTTGGACTCCGCAGCACTTTACTCTGGTTCCTGATTGGAAAATAGCTCTGTGCTTGTATTGGGGGGGGGGGGGCCTGGTGATTGCAGTATGGGGTGCCCAGGGCTGACATTGGATGGGCAAGCCCAGGTCCTGACAACCCAAGACCAAGCCGTGCTTTGTCCCATCAGCTGGAGAGTGCCATATTCCAGATTAAAGGGCCTGTTTGAGAACCTCTGAGGCCTGGTGAATTCTACAGCCTAGGGCAAGGCAGGTGCAGGAGAGCCATTGTCTCTTCTGAAAAGTGTGGGCATTGTGGGGAAACAGCTGACTTCAGTGCATACAGAGTCCCTCTAGAGATGGGCAGGCCAAGCAGCCACCTTTTGGAGCCCTCTAGTTATCTCTGCTCCAAAACACTGAAGCTTGCATCTGGTCTGGACCCTTATGTCTAGCTAGCATTGTGCTGTAGAGCCTCCTAGTATACAACTAGTACTGCCATGTTGGAACCATGGTGTCTCCTAATGTTCACTCACCTTGTGTTGTCTAGCTTGTGCAGTTAGAACCATGGCATGGTATGCATTTGAGAAGCCAGTCGCAGCTAGTTAGGGCATGTGCAATCTAGGCCCACAGTGCATGTTCTAGAGCAATGGTGTGACCAAGTAAGGCATGTGGTCTAGAACCATTTGGTTATGCCATCTGCTCTGTAACACCATCTTGCCAATGCACATATTCTAGATCCATTTGGCACCAGGCTTGCCTAGCTGACTTTGAGCTGTTGCTAATCAGTTCCAGAAGCAGATTTTTCTCTATCCAAGGCACCAGCTCCAGAACATCAGTGCACCTGTCTGGTCTAGAACGTTTTCCTGTGTGGGTCAGTTACAGCACACAGCTGTTCAGCTCTACCTCCTGTGAGTCTGGAACCACACTGTGGTGTCTTGTGAGAGCCTTTGTGGGCCTGGAGCACAACCAAGTCATGGCCTGGGGCCTGGCCCTATAAGAGTGACAGCCCACCCAGCAGCTGCAGGGGCAAGTGAGCCTCAGTGCATGAACCCCTGCCCCACACACAGGCCAGCAGGAACCCCCAGGGAAGAAGCACTCATCAGCCCAGGCTACTTGGAGCAGCCCATACCTCACAGTGCACAAAGAGCATTGTCATCCAGTGACGGGGGGGAGGGGGGGCGGCGAGTGATAGCTCAGTGGTTTGAGCATTGGGCTGCTAAACCCTGGGTTGTGAGTTCAATCCTGAGGGGGCCATTTAGGGATCTGGGGCAAAAATTGGGTACTGGTCCTGCTTTGAGCGGGGGGTTGGACTAGATGACCTCCTGAGGTCCCTTCCAACTCTGATATTCTATGCAGAATGGGTGACGGGCTGGCTCTGGGGAATGGGAAACAGAGGCTTTCCCTGCTGGGGGCCTGGACTGTGCCTGCAGGGTGTAGCACATGGAGGGCCCCCTGTGCCAGCAGGCCTGGGGGATGGTTGCTGGCTCTTGGCTTTGCCCAGTGCAGCTCCATGGGCTGAGCTGGGCTGAAGCTAGAGCAGGCTGGGCTTTTTGGGGTTAAACATTCCCCAACCTCTGCCCTCTGCATCACAATGAAACTGAGACAGCGAGCAGGCTTCCCTCCCTTCCCCCCCAGGTCTGCCAGTCCCCTAGGCACTGCCATCAAGCAAGAATCATGGGGTTAGGTGGGGGTGGGGGAGGAAGGCGCTTCAGAGCTGGGTGAGGGGAAGGGGGGTAGAAGGATCCAGCACCCTAGAATGGTGGGCTCAGCAACAAGGGAGCCCTGGAGGGGGGCAGGGTTTGGGGATGTTGCCAACCCCAGCAGGGAGCTGTTGCCCTAGTGCCCAGGGCTCAGAGCTGGGTAGCTGCTGGCCATGGGCCCATGTGGGTAGCCAGCAGCCGCAGCACCTCGGTGGGGCTAAATCTCTGACCAGAGTGGTTGTGTCAGCAAAGGGCAGGGGCAACCCCAGAGAGACATGCAAGGAAACCAGAGCAACCCATCCTCCTGGGGCCAGGCCAGGCCCATTAGCACTGCCTGGTGCTACCTGCCCACCTGCCACACCCTGCATAGCCCTCTGCTGGGACAGGCTGGGACTGGTGTAGCCAGGAGCTTCCCCCACAGCCAGTGCTCCTGCCCCACTCCCTGCAGTGCCTCCTGCTGGGAGCCACATTCCCATGAGGCAGGGCAGCTATCACAAGTCAATCACTGAGATTAGTTCCTTGTGTGCCCTCCTCCCCCAGGCCTGGGGGCCTATCAAACCTCCACCTAGGGCTAATGGTTCCGAAGGGGGCAGGGATGGGGCTTTGCTCTGGCAGGTGACTGCTGTTGCCTGGGGGCCCAGGAGCAGGGTTGAGACACTGGGGGTGGGGAGAGCAGGTAGGATGCAGTAGCTGGGCCCCCACCCCATAGACATTGACAGTTCCTAGGGCAGGGGCTGGCTGAGACTAAAGGGAGAGCCCAGGTTAATCGCTGGCAGACCCCTGGCTGGCCCACTTCCTTAGCAGCACTTTAGTGCCTTCTGGTGGGCGAGCAGGGGAGGGCAGGTGTCTCCAGCTGCTCCCTGCTTGTCCATTTCCCCCCCATTTTCCCCTGCGAGGAGAGATCTGAGGCACTGGCCAGTCCCACATGCTGGGGGTTTAATACAGCTCCTGCTATCGCTGTCCAAAAAGAGCCACAACCTGCCAGCATCCCCCTGCCCCCATGTGGGGGTGCTAAAAGGAACCCTCTACTCATCCCTCCAGCTCCCCTTTACTGGAGGTGTATAGGGGAATCCCCAGCTCTGAGAGATCCCCCTCTCTATGGGTGCTACAGGGGATCCCGCTCTGAGCCACCCCATTCCCATGTCAATGGGGGCTAAAGCGATCCCCAGCTCTGAGGGGCCCTCCTATTTCACTCTAGTGATGCCCAGCTATGAGCCCCCCAATTCCACCTTCTCTGTGGATCAATCAGCCTCCCCCATCTAGGGCTGTTACAGAGGGCCTGCTGTAGCCCCCGCATGTCCATCCAGGCACTTCTGGGCCCATGGTGGGGTGGAGCACCACCCAGGAGGCGAAGATGTCCGAGTCCTTGCCATCCTCTCTTCTCTGCAGGTAGGCGGCATCGGGATGTCCTCGCGTGGCACGGTGGGGCCCACTAGCTGTGGCCCTTGCCATGCGGGGGGCAGCAGATGGCCTGCAGGGCCTGCTCGGGGAGGCGTGAGGGCTGGGTGAGGATGGCTGTGAGCTTGCTGAGCTGTAGGAGGGAGCTGGAGATAGCTGGGGCGGGGGAGGGAGAAATTAGCACCAGCTCCAGATGGAAGCCGCCCACCCACAACCTTATCCCAAGCCTATCAGCCCGAAGACCCTGAGCTGGGTTTGGCGGGCTAGGCAGAGGAGGTGGCTCAGAAAGCCCTGCCCAGTGATCAGGTTGTGAGGGAATGCCTGGGGGTGACAGGGGATTGGGGGTGATATTGAATCCAGGCCAGGCACATTCCAAAGCAACCAGTGATTCCGGAGCCAACCTGATTTAGGGTTTGGACCCCAACTGCAGGGATCTGATTCAGAAAGGCTTGGGCTAGAGGAGTGGTGTCTAATGGGTAGAGTGGGGAGGGAAGCTGGGAGCCAGGACTCCTGGGTTCTAGTCCCAGCTGTGGAAGGGGAGTGGGGTCTAGTGGTTACAGCAGAGGGGTGTCTAGGAGCCAGGACTTCTGGGTTCTATCCCCATCTCCACCACTGATTGGCTCTGAGGTGGGTTACTAAATCTCCTCTGTGTGCCTTGTGGATAAGGACACCCCCGTCAGGCAGGCAGGATGAATAAGTGCCCATCTCTTGGAGCTCAGGGGGCCCTAACTCAGGAGATGGGGTTTTCCTGGAGGTTGAGGGGATCACAGAAGCTCCTTAAGAGGCTGGAATCCTTTTTCCCTGGAGTGGGCCCTTCTCCGAGCTGCTGGGGGTGTGGGGATGTACCGGGGCGCAGCATAGGCAGGGCGCAGTGCTGCTCCAGCCAGCCCAGCACTGACTGGCAGAACTCCTTGGCACTGCGGGTGGTCACCGCCACCCTGTAGCTCTCAAATAGTGGCTTGATGAGCATGCTGAACTGTGGGCAGAGGGGGGTGAAGGAGAATCCCCCTGCCCCGGAGCTAACTAAGGGGACCAAGAAGGGCTGGCTTAGCCCCCCACCCACCACCTGTAGGGCCATCTGCTCTGTCCTGCCCTCCCTAACCCAGGAAGGAACACCCCAACTCTTCAGGGATTGCCATTGGCCCCAAAGCCCCTGTCCTGTCCCACCCCCAGAGACCCCTCCACTCTGCCCTGAAGAGCCATCCCTGCCCCCTCCCAGCCAGGGCCCTGCGGTGTCCCTGCCCCCCAGGATGCCCTGGTAGGATGACCAGATGTCCTGATTTTATAGAGACAGTCCTGATTTTTGGGTCTTTTTCTTATATAGGCTCCTATTACCCCCCACCCCCATCCTGATTTTTCACAGTTGCTGTCTGGTCACCCTATGCCCTGGACACAATCATGCCAGTGGATACGAGCCAGAAGCGCCAGTTCTGCAGGGTGCGGCGCACACAGTCGCCATACAGCCGGGCTGTGGGGTCTGAGCACAGGGGGCGACCGGGATCCCGCTGGGGGGCACCTGGCGCTGGAACTCCCTAGGGTGAGATGGGGGAGAAGGTAAAACTAGTCCAGGGCACAGCCCCACCTCATCCCTGCACTCACCCAATGGCAGCGCTCCGCTCCTTGACCTCACCCCACAGGCCCTGCCCCCTCCCCCTGCACTCACCCCATGGCAACACTCAAGCTGCTAGATCTCACCCTGCAAGTCCCACCCCCTCTCTGCACTCACCCAGTGGCGCTGCTCAGCCCCTCGATTCCACCCCACAGATCCCGCCCCTTCTCCGCATTCACCCAATGACAGAGCTCAGCCCCTCAATCTCATTCCACAGGCCTCGCCGGCTCCCTGCACTTACCCAATGGCGGTACTCAGCTCTTCAATCTCACCCCATAGGTCCCACCCGCTTCCTGCACTCAGCCAATGACAACAATCAAGCCCCACCCTCATCCCGCACTCACCCAATGGCAGCGCTCAGCTCCTCAATCTCACCCCGCAGGCGCTGGGCCGTCTCCTGCACCTGCCGGTGCTCCTGCTGCAGCTGCCCCACATACACCACGCTTCTCTGCAGCAGCATGGCCTTGCTGAGCTGGGGGAAACAGGCGAGCATGAGACACAGCAGCCACCAACGGGCAGAGAGGGAGATGGGGTGGGACAGACGAGGGACATGGAGGGTACAGGGAGCAAGGGACAAGCAGAAGGGGAGACGGGGAGGGAGGGACGAGGACCAGGGATGAGCAGAGAAGGGGGGAAGGACAAGGGTGAGGCACAGACAGAGAGAGAGGGATGGATGAGGGACTGGGCTGGCACAGCAAAGTGGAGCCAGGTGTTCTAGCACCCCTGTTGGGGAGAACAGGGCTGCGCAGTGAAGCGAAGTGGGATCGGAAGGCTGGATAGCAGGCATGGCTGGGGGCACCACGTGCCATGTACCTTAACAGTGGGCTGGGCCAAGCCCGGCAGCACCAGGCTGGCAAGGGTGTTGAAGGCACAGCTGATGTTCATGCGCCGGGCGTGGTCGGCAGAGGTAAAGCCAGCTCTTCGGTTGCCCTGCAGGATCCAATCGAAACTAGGCTGTGAGCCCTGCCCCAGGGATCAGGGCTGATCCCTCTCCAACAGCGCAGAGCCAGGAGCTAACAGAAGGGGCAGTGATGCCTATCCACCTCACACACGGCACCCGCTGGGGCACTGGGATCAGCACTGAGTATGAGGGGAAAGCACCCCCCTACCAAGTCCCCCACCCCACTTCAGGCAGCACAGCACCCACTAGTGCCACACTGGAGTTAACACTGACAGTGAGGTACAGGGCCCTCTACTGAGCCCTTACCCTGCTCCCCGCAGCACCCTTGGCTTTCCCTGGAAAGTCTCCCTGCCGCCCCACTCAGCAGGGAGGGGCCCAGGTGTGGGTGGTTTGGCAAGGGCCCATGTTACCTTGGTGCTGGGGAAGCTGCAGGGCTGGTGGAAAGTGTGGGGTCCAAGGCGCTCAGCTCCGTCTTCGGACTTGGCATCTGGGGGAATCATAGACTTTAAGGTCAGAAGGGACCATTATGATCATCTAGTCTGACCTCATGCACAATGCAGGCCACGGAATCTCACCCAAAAACTCCTGTAACAAACCCCTAACTTATGTCTGAGCTACTGAAGTCCTTAAATCATGGTTTAAAGACTTCAAGGTGCAGAGAATCCTCCTGCCCCACGCTGCAGAGGCAGGCGAAAACTCCCCAGGGCCTCTGCCAATCTGCCCTGGGGGAAAATTCCTTCCTGACCGCAAATATGGCGATCAGCTAAACCCTGAGCATGTGGGCAAGACTCACCACCAGACACCCAGGAAAGAATTCTCTGTAGTAACTCAGATCCCACCCCATCTAACATCCCATCACAGGCCCTTGGGCATATCTACCGCTAGTAGTCGAAGATCAATTAATTGCCAAAATTAGGCTATCCCATCATATAATCTCCTCCATAAACTTATCAAGATTTGTCTTGAAGCCAGATATGTCATTTGCCCCCTCTGCTTCCCTTGGAAGGCTGTTCCAGAACTTCACTCCTCTGATGGCTAGAAACCTTTGTCTAATTTCAAGTCTAAACTTCCTGATGGCCAGTTTATATTCATCTGTTCTTGTGTCCATATTGGTATTGAGCTTAAATAATAATGCTCCCTCCATGGTATTTATCCTTCTGATATATTTATAGACAGCAGTCATATCTCCTCTCAGCCTTCTTTTAGTTAGGCTAAACAAGCCAAACTTATTGAGTCTCCTTTCATAAGACAGGTTTCAGAGTAGCAGCCGTGTTAATCTGTATTCGCAAAAAGAAAAGGAGTACTTGTGGCACCTTAGAGACTAACAAATTTATTTGAGCATAAGCTTTCGTGAGCTACAGCTCACTTCATCAGCTGTATCCTGTAGCTGTAGCTCACGAAAGCTTATGCTCAAATAAATTTGTTAGTCTCTAAGGTGCCACAAGTACTCCTTTTCTTTTTTCATAAGACAGGTTTTCCACTCCTCGGATCATCCTAGTAGCCCTTCTCTGTACCTGTTCCAGTTTGAATTCATCCTTCTTAAACATGGGAGACCAGAACTGCACACAATATTCCAGATGAGGTCTCACCAGTGCCTTGTGTAACAGTACTAACACCTCCGTATCTCTACTGGAAATACCTCGCCTGATGCATCAAGGGATCACCAGGGAAGAGTATAAAAATATTGCTCGGGCATGTAGGAATGATATCAGGAGGGCCAAATCGCACCTGGAGCTGCAGCTAGCAAGAGATGTTAAGAGTAACAAGAAGGGTTTCTTCAGGTATGTTGGCCACAAGAAGAAAGCCAAGGAAAGTGTGGGCCCCTTACTGAATGAGGGAGGCAACCTAGTGACAGAGGATGTGGAAAAAGCTAATGTACTCAATGCTTTTTTTGCCTCTGTTTTCACTAACAAGGTCAGCTCCCAGACTGCTGCGCTGGGCATCACAAAATGGGGAAGAGATGGCCAGCCCTCTGTGGAGATAGAGGTGGTTAGGGACTATTTAGAAAAGCTGGACATGCACAAGTCCATAGGGCCGGACGAGTTGCATCCGAGAGTGCTGAAGGAATTGGCGGCTGTGATTGCAGAGCCATTGGCCATTATCTTTGAAAACTCGTGGCGAACGGGGGAAGTCCCGGATGACTGGAAAAAGGCTAATGTAGTGCCAATCTTTAAAAAAGGGAAGAAGGAGGATCTAGGGAACTACAGGCCAGTCAGCCTCACCTCAGTCCCTGGAAAAATCATGGAGCAGGTCCTCAAAGAATCAATCCTGAAGCACTTGCATGAGAGGAAAGTGATCAGGAACAGCCAGCATGGATTCACCAAGGGAAGGTCATGCCTGACTAATCTAATCGCCTTTTATGATGAGATTACTGGTTCTGTGGATGAAGGGAATGCAGTGGATGTATTGTTTCTTGACTTTAGCAAAGCTTTTGACACGGTCTCCCACAGTATTCTTGTCAGCAAGTTAAGGAAGTATGGGCTGGATGAATGCACTATAAGGTGGGTAGAAAGCTGGCTAGATTGTCGGGCTCAACGGGTAGTGATCAATGGCTCCATGTCTAGTTGGCAGCCGGTATCAAGTGGAGTGCCCCAAGGGTCGGTCCTGGGGCCGGTTTTGTTCAATATCTTCATCAATGATCTGGAGGATGGTGTGGATTGCACTCTCAGCAAATTTGCGGATGATACTAAACTGGGAGGAGTGGTAGATATGCTGGAGGGGAGGGATAGGATACAGAAGGACCTAGACAAATTGGAGGATTGGGCCAAAAGAAATCTGATGAGGTTCAATAAGGATAAGTGCAGGGTCCTGCGCTTAGGATGGAAGAATCCAATGCACCGCTACAGACTAGGGACCGAATGGCTAGGCAGCAGTTCTGCGGAAAAGGACCTAGGGGTTACAGTGGACGAGAAGCTGGATATGAGTCAGCAGTGTGCCCTTGTTGCCAAGAAGGCCAATGGCATTTTGGGATGTATAAATAGGGGCATAGCGAGCAGATCGAGGGACGTGATCATTCCCCTTTATTCGACATTGGTGAGGCCTCATCTGGAGTACTGTGTCCAGTTTTGGGCCCCACACTACAAGAAGGATGTGGATAAATTGGAGAGAGTCCAGCGAAGAGCAACAAAAATGATTAGGGGTCTAGAACACATGACTTATGAGGAGAGGCTGAGGGAGCTGGGATTGTTTAGCCTGCAGAAGAGAAGAATGAGGGGGGATTTGATAGCTGCTTTCAACTACCTGAAAGGGGGTTCCAAAGAGGATGGCTCTAGACTGTTCTCAATGGTAGCAGATGACAGAACGAGGAGAAATGGTCTCAAGTTGCAGTGGGGGAGGTTTAGGTTGGATATTAGGAAAAACTTTTTCACTAAGAGGGTGGTGAAACACTGGAATGCGTTACCTAGGGAGGTGGTAGAATCTCCTTCCTTAGAGGTTTTTAAGGTCAGGCTTGACAAACCCTGGCTGGGATGATTTAACTGGGAATTGGTCCTGCTTCAAGCAGGGGGTTGGACTAGATGACCTTCTGGGGTCCCTTCCAACCCGATATTCTATGATTCTATGATCAAGACCGCATTAGCTTTTTTGACTGCCATATCACATTGGCGGCTCATAGTCATCCTGTGATCGACCAGTACTCCGAGGCTCTTCTCCTCCTCTGTTACTTCCAAGTCATGCATTCCCAGTTTATAACAGAAATTCTTGTTATTAATCCCTAAATGCATGACCTTGCACTTTTCACTATTAAATTTCATCCTATTACTATTACTCCAGTTTACAAGGTCATCCAGATCTTCCTGTATGATATCCCGGTCCTTCTCTGTATTGGCAATACCTCCCAGCTTTGTGTCATCCGCAAACTTTATTAGCACATTCCGGCTTTTTGTGCCAAAGTCAGTAATAAAAAGATTAAATAAGATTGGTCCCAAAACCGATCCCTGAGGAACTCCACTAGTAACCTCCTTCCAGTCTGACAGTTCACCTTTCAGTGTGACCCGCTGAAGTCTCCCCTTTAACCAGTTCCTTACCCACCTTTCAATGTTCATATTGACCCCCATCTTTTCCAATTTAGCTAATAATTCTCCATGTGGAACCACATCAAATGCCTTACTGAAATTGAGGTAAATTAGATCTACTGCATTCCCTTTGTCTAAAAAATCTGTTACCTTCTCAAAGAAGGAGATCAGGTTGGTTTGACACTATCTACCTTTTGTAAAGCCATGCTGTCTTTTGTCCCAATTACCACTGACCTCAATGTCCTTAACTACTTTATCCTTCAACATTTTTTTCAAGACCTTGCATACTACAGATGTCAAACTAACAGGCCTGTAGTTACCGGGATCGTTTTTTTACCTTTCTTAAAAATAGGAACTACGTTAGCAATTCTCCAGTCATACGGTACAACCCCTGAGTTTACAGATTCATTAAAAATTCTTGCTAATGAGCTTGCAATTTCATGTACCAGTTCCTTTAATATTCTTGGATGAAGATTATCCAGGCCCCCCAATTTAGTCCCATTAAGCTGTTCGAGTTTGGCTTCTACTTCAGATGTGGTAATATCTACCTCCATATCCTCAGTCCCATGTATCATCCTACCATTATCCCTAAGATCCTCATTAAAGACTGAGGCAAAATATTTGTTTAGATATTGGGCCATGCCTAAATTATCCTTCACCTCCACTCCATCCTCAGTGTTAAACAGTCCCACTTCTTTCTTTCTTTTCTTCTTATTTATATGGCTATAGAACCTTTTACTATTCCTTTTAATTCCCTTTGCAAGGTCCAACTCTACATGGCTTTTGGCCTTTCTCACTTTATCCCTACATATTCTGACCTCAGTAAGGTAGCTTTCCTTGCTAATTCCTCCCATCTTCCACTTCTTGTAGGCTTTCTGCTTTTTCTTAATCACCTCTCTGAGATGCTTGCTCATCCAGCTTGGTCGACAACTCCTGCCTATGAATTCTTTCCCCTTTCTTGGGATGCAGGCTTCTGATAGTTTCTGCAACTTGACATGAAGTAATTCCAGGCCTCCTCCACCTATAGATCCACAAATTTTTCAATCCAATCCACCTCCCAAAGGAGACAGGGAAACGTCTAGGGCAGATGGTACCAAACTGGGAGGAAAGGTAGATACGCTGGAGGGTAGGGATAGGATACAGAGGGACCTCAACAAATTAAAGGATTGGACCAAAAGAAATCTGATGAGGTTCAACAAGGACAAGTGCAGAGTCCTGCATTTAGGACGGAAGAATCCCATGCACTGCTACAGACTAGGGATTAAGCAGCTAGGCAGCAGTTCTGCAGAAAAGGACCTAGGGGTTACAGTGGACGAGAAGCTGGATATGAGTCAACAGTGTGCCCTTGTTGCCAAGAAGGCTAACGGCATTTTAGGCTGTATAAGTAGGAGCATTGCCAGCAGATCGAGGGACGTGATCGTTCCCCTCTATTTCGCATTGGGTGAGGCCTCATCTAGAGTACTGGAGGAACCAA